CGGTGCGGCTCGGCTCGATTCCTGGGGGCGGGGCTTGCAGCAAGCCCCGCCCCCAGGAATCGGGCCCCGCTCTTGCTAAAGCCGGCCCTGATAACAGCTTCCCTCTCATGCAAATCTGTACCAGATTCAAAATCTTTTCCCCGTGGGTCCTTTGTGCTGCTTCCTTCTGAGTGTTGTCCCAATACTGTTCAAAGAGGGTGTTTCCAAAAGAAGGTGCTCGCTTCTAACCCCCAACCCCCATCCCGAGGCCATCAATATGTCTGCTCTTCTCTAGTGAGCCCACTTGACAAGTTTGATTGTCCTTGGAACTGGCTTCCATCCCCTCTCCAACTAGCTGTATGGAGGTGCTGCCTTCCAGGCCTTGCTCATTCACACCTCATTCATTCAACATGCCAATTGATTAAGGGAGTGTGGGGAGGGGAATCTTAGTCTACTCCTAGGAAAAAGACATTTTTCTTCTACTTTAACTATCCTTAGGGGCTATAACATTATACCAAGGTTTAACACAAAGTTTTCTATAAGTTTTTTTACATAGGGATCTGATAAGTTCCTATATCAAAGGACTTGATACAAAGTTGTATGAAAATAGCTTAATACAGGGTTATATGAAGAGGCATAATACAAAGTCATATGAAAGTTATGTGAAGATGCTTAATACAGAGATTTATCTACAAGGTTCATTTGGGTGAGGGTGTAGGTGGTTGAGGCTCAGTGGGGAGGGTGTCTGGGGGGGCTCATCGGGGTGGTAAAGATGCAGGGGAGGTGGGGCTTGTCAGGGTGAGGGTTTGATGGGCCTGCTTAACAGGGGTGCCCCAGCTGCTGCCAAGGGGATCCGCATGCTGGGCCCCCATTTCCCATATCCCAGGGATCGGTAACCTTCGGCACATGGCCCACCAGGTAAGCCCCTGGTGGGCCGGGCCAGTTTGTTTACTTGCTGCGTCCACAGGTTTGGCCAACTGCGGCTCCCACTGGCCGTGGTTTGCTGCTCCAGGCCAATAGGGGCTGCGAGAAGCCACGGCCAGCACATCCCTCGTCCTGCAGCCCCCCATTGGCCTGGATCCGCGATCGGCCGAACCTGTGGACGCGGCAGGTAAACAAACTGGCCTGGCCCACCAGGGGACTTACCCTGGTGGGCCGAGTGCCGAAGGTTGCCGATCCCTGCCCTATCCCCTTCTCGTCCCCATCCCATGCCCCTTCCCCACCACTCCATCTCCTCCCCATCCCACCCCCTTCTTTCCCCACTGCCTCTGTCCCCCTGCCCTGCCTGCCCCACCGTGGGCACTCACTGTTGTACAAGATGAAGGATGGCTCCCAGCACACAGACGGGAGCTCAACCAGCACTAGGACCCAGAAGGGGGTGTCCAGCTGGAAAGTCCGGGGAGCTGAGCAGCACCTTCTTTTTTCAGCCTGGCTGCGCAGCTCTGCAGTCACAGAGTAGGTCTGCTCCTTCCACCCCCCTCCCCAAGGCCCCACCCCCGCCTCTTCTCTGCCTCCTCTCCCCAGGTGAGCATGCTGCGGCTGTACCCCTCCCTGACCCTCCTGCTGGCAAACAGCTGATCAGCGACGGAGAGGGGGAGGGCGGGAAGGGAGCA